ACATGTCAGACATGCTTCTGAGGGCTGCACAAGCATTACCTCACACATCCACAACGACCTCTGAAAGAGTGCCGTTATTACTGCTACTTTCCAGGTGAGAGAACTGAGGTGTGGCGAAATCAGCAAAGCTGTACTCCGTCCTTGTGATGCAGTGGTGAGCCAGGCCACTTAGACTTGTCTGCTGTGCAGTGCAGCTTCTGTGTTTTGGAAAACATGAGGAAAAACCAGTGCTACAGTTAACCATGAAAAGAAGAGCTTCTGTGTTAACTGAAGCCTGGCTCCAAATCTTAGGTCCCTTAATGTGGTAAGAACGTGGCCTTATCCGAAGTTCTCTTTAACATAATCAGATTGGGACAGTTCAGAAGTGCATGCAGGGTGACCAAGCACCATGGTCCTGCTTATGTATTAACTCAACACACCTTCCTGTCATACAAAATAAGACAGCCTGGGATGGAGGAGGCCAGGACCTGGTGGCTGTGTGAGGTCTTCACAATCCTTTCTACATGTGTGTGTTTGAATAGGCTTGCCTCGTGGGCACAGATGGAGTGAGCTCCTGGATAACCATGGGGACAGACCCTCACATCAGAGTGACAGCCTGCATTGTTCACTCACTACTATTCCCCAGTGTATGCCCACATGGCATATACACATGTGCAAACACGCACACACACACACGCACACACACACAAACACTCCTCCTCTGATGGTCCAGTTCCATTGCCTTTTATTAGGCTTCTTAAAGATAGTACCTGTGTTCTTCGACCTTTGAGATGCAGCTAAGAAATGCACTTGTAGCTGGCGGTGGTAGAACATGCTTGTAGTCTCAGCACTGGGGAGGCAAAGGCAGGTGGATCTCTGTGAGTTCAAGCCTGGTCTACATGGTGAGTTCCAGGCCAGCTCAAGCTATATAGTGAGACCCTATTTCAAAAAAGCCCCCCGACCCCAATAAAATAAGAAAGGAAAAAAAGGCACATGTAATCAGGAAGAATGAAATGGCTTGTTGAACTTGATTCCTCTTTTCCATCCCAATCAAGGAGAGAGGCCCACCTTCCTCAGCATCATGCCTAGGGATGAGGCAGCACTAAGATCTAATGGGAATAACTGAGTGGGAGTGGATGAATGAGCAGAATGCTCTTTATTTAATCGACTCCTCACTGTATTCTAAGGAGGAGTTAATCCCACTTTACAGAAGAGGAAATCAAAGTGGAGGAAAAGCTCAAGAGCTGGGTGGGGTCACCTAGCACAGGAGTGGAGGAGATAGCATTCAAACCAAGCCTGGGTGCTGCCTTACCAGCAAGTTGTATTCCCCACCTGCAGGCAGCCCTACAGGATTCTTAGCACCCAGGGATGGCTGCATTCTGGATGGGCTACCAAGAAACTTTCCTGCTGGCCTTGCAGTGTTTCTTTCTGTGTGTGCGTGTGTTTGTGACAAAACTGTAGTATAGAACATATGACATACAAATGACATATGATCATAAATACATTAAATTTATATTATCAAAGAACTATCAAATAAATCATTACTCTTGGTTATTAAATTAATACCTAGCTTCAGTTCCTAAAGTGCTAAATATAGTAAATTTAACATGTTAACAAGAGAAATTCAGAGGCTTTGCTAATTTTGGTGGGGGTAATAAAAGGGTTTGAAATTTAAGAGCTTAAAGACCATTGTACTAAGTTGGGGTTATTAATTTGTTTTATTTAGTTTCAGAGACAGTGGTTTACATTGTCTAGGCTGGTCTTGAACTTGCTATACAGCTGAAGATGATCTTGAACTTCTGATCCTCAGACCTCCCCTTTCCTGAGCTGGGATGACAGGCTTACCAACTGTTTGGGCTTAAAGAGTTCTCTTATCTATTTGCCCAGCTGGGTTGCTAATTACTTCAGGAAAAGTTTTAGCCCAGACAGGAACCTCCTCTTATGTTCCTTTCTCTGGGGTTTTGTTTTCCTATCTCAATTCCTGCACAGCAGGAAGAGCAACGCCTGCCTGCCTGAGTCCCCTCTGGGACCTGCCATTTCCAGGAGATGTTTGTTTATATACCTTCTGCTGGTGTCCTGTGCTTAAACTAGTGCTGGGTAAACCCCAAGCTTTTTAATCCCAGCACTCAGGAGGCAGAGGCAGATGTATCTTTGTAAGATCCAGGGCAGTCGGGTTTATACAGCAAGTTCTAGGCTGACTAGGACTACAGGGAGACCCTGTCTCAAAAGACCAAAAGGAAAATCAAATCAACCAGGGCTTGGTGAGTGTTCAGGGCAGTGCATAGCATGCTGCTGATAGCTCAGGACCACAGACTAAGGCTTCAGTCATTAGCACAATCTGCATATCTCTGTTTCCTACACCACAGCCAGGGTGTGAGAGATGTGCTGGCTCTAATTAGGTGATTCTCTAACATGTGGCTGCTTCTGTTTTTTTTTTTTTTCAAGTATTTTTTTTTTAATTTTATGTGTATAGGTGTATTGCCTGCATGTATGTACGTGCACTTGTGTCATGCAGTGGCAATGGAGGTCAGAAGGCATTGGAGTGCCTGGAACTGGAGTTATGGACAGTTAGCTGCCATGTGGGTGCTGGGAACTGAACCCGGGGGCCTCTACAAGAGCAGCCAGTGCTCTAACCACTGAGCTTTCTTTCCAAACCCCAGCCTCTCCACTGTAGGCCTATAGTGAAGGAAGAAGAAAGAACTGTACCCCTCTTCTGGCCTCTGAGGGCATTACATGTATGTGGTAGACTTATATACATGCAGGCAAAACACCCATACACATAAAATAAAAATAAATAGATAAAAATTAAAAATATATGCAGTAATAATTGATAAACCTGTATCTTTGGGGGGTGGGCTTGAGTTTTTGAAACTATTTAAAAGTTATATGAAAATAAGCAAAAAGAAATCAGGTGGTGGTAAAGCTGGGCATGGTGGCACAGGCCTTTAATCCCTGTGCTCTGGAAGCAGAGGCAGGTGGATCTCTATGAGATCCAGGCCAGCCTGGTCTACATAGTGAGTCCCAGGTCAGCTGGGGCTACCAGGAGACCTGTCTCAGGAAAACAAACAAACAAACAAAAAAAGGTGGCTAGCCATGTGTCACAGGTCGCAGGTTTGTAATGCAATCCCAAAGTAAAATTAAGGAAAATTTTGCAACTTTCATCTGTTTGCAACTCTATTAAGTTCCTCCTCTGCACTTGACCACCACGATGTGTGCTGACTTCCCCAGTGCAGCTGAGGGTGTGCCAGGGAGTAACATGGAGGTACTTTGTTCTCGGCCCTTCAGATTCTCAGAAACCGGCATAGAAAACACTATAGCTCAGGTTTAATCTCTTAATTGCTGCACATTTGCCTGGAAAGCTTGAGATGATAACAGATGTTATTTGTGAAATGATTTCTGAGGCTGAAGGATGCAGATTAGAGGCCCGCATCTTCTCTGACCCTTGGTCTCTTGACATCTGCATATTGTTCTGTGGGCTGCCACAACTGTCAGTCTCACAGAGGACCAGCATCACTTCCCAGACTTGGAGGCAGGCTTTGCTAATGAGATGGCTGGCCTTTAGCCTCCTAAGTCAGGAAAAGGCAGATTCTAGTCACTCAAAGTTGGCCTATACCAGTATCTGTTAATACTGGTTAATTACCTACCTCTAAAACCTGCCTCAACCCTACTCTGGCATGCTAGTAAGAGGAAATTAAAAAAAAAAAGCTGCCAGCCCATTTCTTATGCCTGTCCCAACAATCACCCTCCTGTGACTGTATGTTGCTGTCAAGGTTTTCTGTCTCCATCTCCTTAAAGACTAGTCCATATGTTTTATATATTTAATTTTGTCCAGGGGTCGGGGAGGATTAGCTTGAAGAGTATGATATGAAAAAAGTTAGCTACTGAGTACATTCCACCTATGTGTGGACTTCAAGATCACAAGAACATCTTGCATTGCCTTGTTTCCTGTGTCCTCATTTTACTGTGGCTGTACATTAATGCTGAGTGGGACGGTAAACATCCTTAGTCTGAACTTTCCCTTGGAGCTCATATTAACAGGGATTTTTTTTTTCTTGCTTACAAACTTCTTCAGTCTTATTTCAAAATCTAAGACTCCGTGGAAATTTACCAGATCTCTTGTTGCTTTAAAGCTGATGCTCCGAATTTTGCATTTTTCCAATTTAAAAAATGTCTTCTGAGAATTTCGACTGCACAGCTCTTAGGACACACTGACTGAAACCGAGTGTTAACATATAATTTTCAAAAACTTGAAAACATGACTCACATATAAATACTATTGTGGTAAGCTCATGTGTCCGTCAAGGAATGATTGAACTCCTTAGTGAGTAAGCAGGTAGGATAACAAAGGTGTTATATAAAGATAAAGTGTTCATTTAGTCAGGGAAAGAGTTTTGGACAAAGACTGAAAACCCGGCTATCAGATTTGTTAGTGTCCAATACAATCATAACTTCCACAGTTACCTTTTCTATTGCAAAGAGTCACTTTGCATTTCTACAGGACAAAACTTTATGGATTAATTATCTACACGTGATAATAAAAGGTGCACTCTATGGGGAGAATCAGCAGTAAATATGAAGTCAGAATCACTGTCACCTGAAGATTTGCTATCAGTCTTTTATGGTAATGACCACCCACAGAGTCGTTCAGCACCTGGGACTCGGCCTTAACTGAAGTTCCACAAGTGTCAAATACAGAAGAGGCTTTGAAGATTTGATGTTTCAAAAGTACTCCGTAAGCAGCTTCATTTAGAAATATTGACTATGCCGGGCGTCGTGGCCCACGCCTTTAATCCCAGCACTTGGGAGGCAGAGGCAGGCGGATCTCAGTGAGTTCAAGGACAGACTGGTCTACATAGTAAGTTCCATCCAGGCTAGCTGGGGCTACAGGGAGACCCTGTCTCAAAAAAGACCCAAAAAAAAAAAAAAAAAAAAGAAATACTGACTATACGTTGAAGTGATATACCATTTTATTATATGTTCAGTTAAACAAAATCAATTTTTAAAATTGTCACCTGTTTATTTTTTCAATGTGAGTATAAGAAAATTAAAAAATATGTATGTGAGTCAAACTGTCTTACTTTCTAACACTTCCAGCACCAGACAATATGAGTCTACTTTGTACACCATTCTCTAACGTAGGCTGGAAGTTCGTAAGAAACACTTTTGCTTTATTTTCAAGTTTTGCATAATTTTTTTTCAACACGAGTTACAAGAGATCTAGGAAGGTTATTCATTTCTGTCTTCTCACTTTTAATCACTTGGGCAAAAGGCTGGAACCCAGATTCTGGGGGGCTGACCACTCCAGGTTTGAGATTTGCATTTGAAGAGCTGTGATTTGAGTGATTCAACTTGAAGAATCCTAATAGATAATTAAATCACAAGAATCAAACTGACAAGCCAGTGGTTTAAAAATGAAGTGTTCAACTTACAGTGAAGAGACCAGTGGGCTGGAGTTCCAAACTGCACACAGCTGTTTTCCTGGGGGATGTGAACACAGCAGAGTTTCAAAGGAGGAAATTCCCCACAGAATCACAGCAAAGTGGCCTATTCTTACTCTTTTTTTACTAAACCACATTAGTATGTGGCAGGTGCTTCTGTTGTTTGTGTACATTGAATAATTTCTTACAATTCCCATTCCAAAGGTGCCACAGGATGGAAGCTGGAAAGTAGTTTTTTACTGCTGCTAATTGATCCATCCCTAATCTCATTAGGTTGTTAATTCCCAGAGGACACAAGCCTCCTAGATACTGTTTCCAATTGCTAAACAAATGTTATTCAGTGAAACCATGGGGCCATTCCTAGTCTCAAAGAGTAAGTTTTGTTTTGCAAACATCCCTGAACTCAATTTGCACAACCCCTGTGACTTTACCACAGTTTAAGGCTAACATCTTTAACACACGTTTTAATGTAGACATATACTTGGACAGGGATTTCTGATAAATTTAGGGACACTTCCTTTGTCCCCAGATAGAAACACAAACTTGTATCAAATGTACACACAGAGTTTATCTTGCTTTTTCTCTAAAGAAAAAAGTTCCAAATACTTGGAGCCAAAGGTTGAAATATGAAGTAAAAAACAAATTGACAAAGCAAACCGAGTAGAATGCAGATTCAGAGAGGCTGGGGTGATGCCGGGCTGTCAACGGGGTAATAATTTGTACCAAAGTTTCCTATCACACTGTAAAAACATTTGCCCTGTTTTCTATTTCAAACCTTTGGTTCACCTCGTAGGTCAAAAGCGTCCTTTATTAAAGTCAGCTTCTTCGTTTCCACCTGTGCCTTTGAAATCACACAGAAGGTCCTTCTGTACCAAGACGAATAAAATATCATTTCTGAAATAACCTCGAATTCTGACGGGCAGAAATTCATCTCTGTATAGCAATATATACAAAGAAAGAAATGATTACTTGCTTGCTTTAAAAGCAGACCGTCTCGGTGTCCCTATAACTGCAAAGTTTACTGCGGGACCCCCTGCCTTGCAAAACTCAGAGGGGAACTCTAGAGCTTTTAAAATACAGCTCCAAGTCTCGCCTCAGGAAGAGTGAAAAGGGCGCCCCGCCCCCACCGATGAAAAGGGATTTGATACTTTCAATGTCTTTAAATCACTGATTTAAGTCCTTAGCCCCCCACCACTCGGAACATCCCCAAGGCCCATGAAACCCCCTACCATCCCACCCCAAGTGCTTGAGACTGGCCCTGGAATCCCTGTCCCAGTCCGTGGTTACCGTGGGTCTGTACGCAGAATTCACGAAGGACCTGTGTTACTTCTCTTGCGAAGAAACAGAATAATCCTGAAAATCTGGGTGGAAACCGTTTCGGTTTTGCCCCTAAATGAAGAGAAGGATGTGCCCAACCATCCCTGAGAAAAAGAACTTTCAGGGGCAAAGGAGCGACCAGGTAATTTAGGAGAAAAACAGAAAGTGGTCTCTGGCTACCCAGGACTTCCTTTGTAGTTGGGGGAGTTGGGGACTCCTGGGCGCGTTGTCTTTGGAGCTGTGGGAAAAATAAATGCATATTCCGAAGCCTGAGGCTTCTCGGATCCTTTCCTAACCAAAGTCGAGAGCTTTGGTACAGGACTTTTTCCTATTTTCCCCTTTTTGTGCGCTGTAACAAACACAAGTTGGGCGCAGCGCGGCGGCTCGCATCCTGCCAGCCAGGAGGGCCGGGGAGCACCAATCAGCGCGCGCCGACGCTCTATATATACTGCGGGCCTGCGGGGCTGCGCCACCGGCTCTAGCCTCTGCGTCCTAAGTTCTAGACCCTCATCATGTCCGAGACCGCCCCCGCCGCGCCAGCCACGCCGGCCCCCGCCGAGAAGGCGCCTGCGAAGAAGAAGGCGAAGAAGCCGGCAGGAGCCAAGCGGAAGGCGTCCGGGCCCCCGGTGTCCGAGCTCATCACCAAGGCCGTGGCCGCCTCCAAGGAGCGCAGCGGCGTGTCCCTGGCCGCGCTCAAGAAGGCGCTGGCGGCCGCGGGCTACGACGTGGAGAAGAACAACAGCCGCATCAAGCTGGGGCTCAAGAGCCTGGTGAGCAAGGGCACCCTGGTGCAGACCAAGGGCACCGGCGCCTCCGGCTCCTTCAAGCTCAACAAGAAGGCGGCGTCCGGCGAGGCCAAGCCCAAGGCCAAGAAGGCGGGCGCGGCCAAGGCCAAGAAGCCCGCCGGCGCGGCCAAGAAGCCCAAGAAGGCGACCGGGGCCGCCACGCCCAAGAAGGCCGCCAAGAAGACCCCGAAGAAGGCCAAGAAGCCCGCGGCCGTGGCCGTGACCAAGAAAGTGGCCAAGAGCCCCAAGAAGGCCAAGGTTGCCAAACCCAAGAAGGCCAAGAGCGCATCGAAGGCAGTGAAGCCCAAGGCTGCCAAGCCCAAGGTTGCTAAGCCCAAGAAGGCTGCAGCCAAGAAGAAGTAGGCCGATCCTGCCTCTACCCAAAAGGCTCTTTTCAGAGCCACCACTTACTTGGAAAAGGAGCTGTGGCGTTGAGCTGAGGCCCCTGGCGGGCGTCCCAAATCGAGTTGCCAACGCGCCCCCCTAAGGGATGCTCCAGATCCCGGGTATCCTGCTGGACAGCTGCCAGCCCCGCCCAGGCTCTGAGCGAAAACAACCTCACAACTTCAGGGCCCTGGCCGGGATTGGACTGTAAGGTAACTTCGAAAGTTCCGCCCTGTCCGCGGGTTGGCCATCTGCTCCCGCCTGTGGCTTTGGTCCCGTGCTCAATTGGACGGCAGCCAGCGTTGGTTCGCTCCGGAATGTTGGGAGTTTGCCCTGGGTGGTGGGAGGAGGAGCTTGCATTTGGAACATTGCATTAGACCTGCCCTGGCGTCTCCGCGTAGGTAGCAACCTAGTTACGGGAGGCCGTGCGTCCGAGAAGCTGTGCTTTCGGAAAGAACCCTTCCACCCGGAGGGGCGCTGCACCCGGCCCCTTGTTTGTTCTTGTGGTTTGTAGCAATGGCGTGGTTGTGCAAGGACTGAACTGCGTCACTGTCTGTCAGCCATTTTATTAGGGCGTGACCATCACCGATCACTTTGTTACTTTGACATAGGACTTTTTTCCAAAAAGCCCAGGCGGGCCTCCAACTACTGTTTAACCCTTGTTGGCCTGGATCTTGCGGTCATCCTCCTGCCTCAGTTTCCTTAAGTGCTTGAGATTGTCTACATATGTCGTCACTGAAGCTCGACTTAAGTTTGTAAATACTGAAGTTTCTTTAGATGCTATGTGCGCTCCAAATATACGCAAAAAACAATGTACTTTTGGTTAAAGTGTTTGTGGATCTAATAAAAGCTTTGTTTTATTTCACCTGTTTGGAGGATTTTTCTACACCCGCGGCCATTCTAGATACAGAATTCCGTTCCGTGTTTTTCACCAGTTGGGACACAGGTTTTGAAGCCCTAATTATGAGGGTGGGGGCTGTGTGCGTGTGTGTGTGTGTGTGTGTGTGTGTGTGTGTGTGTGTTGAGTGCATGGGGTGGGGGGGTGGGGAATTGCAATTCAGGTGTTCTGCAGCATTACCAGGACTATGGACACAGTGGGAATTAGTCGCCCCCCTGGAGTTAATGAGGAGCTGGAAGAATTTCCCATGTTTTCTCCCCGCCAATTCACTGACAAATCGAGCTCACTCTTTTACTGTGAGACATAAAAAACATTTTTTCCCTCTTAGGACCGTCTATGAACAATTGCCCCTCCGGTTTTGATTTCATGTTCGTCATAGCCCGATTCCATCGCTAGGTAGACTACATCTCAAGTTTATTTTGGTCGTTCTGGGCATTTCTAAAGTAGAATCACCCTCCTTTAACTACCGTGCTTATGTCAGTGTGGTGGAAACTTGACACATAGCTGTAGTACTGTTTCATAAACAGATGTTTTAATGACCAATAGGGATTAATTCCTTTTCGAAATCTCTTTGAGCACGCTAGGCCGGTGCTCCACTACTGAATTATAGCCAGCACTCTTGTTTTTATTTTGTGACAAGGTCTCACCTACTAGTCCAGATTGACCTGAAACTTGTGATCCTCCTGCCTCAGCCTCTTAAGTAGCTGGAATTGGAGGCCTGTACCAACCAGCCCAGCTTTTCTTTTTGTTTTGTTTTTCCAGTGTGGTCTAAGGTAGCCTCAAGTATCCATTATTCAGAAGAAAACTTGTCAGTAGTTTTATTGGGATTGTGTTAAACTTTTGCAAGAAATTTTATGTTTTTATTTTTGTTCAGGGATGTTTGTTACCTCTCCAGAGATCATAAAAATTTCCCTAAATAGACCTAAATATTTCTATTACTTATCTTTACTGCTGCTTATTTAATTCAATTGCTCCAGGGCCATCCATAAAGTGGACATTGAAACTGTTCAGTTATTGAAGAGGTTGCAGCACAAATGAATTAATTTTAGAACAAGGCTGCCCATTACTACATAAATTAACACAGATACAGACCAACTATGTAACTAAAGTCCCCTATTCCCAATTTTCTTATCGTTGAATATTAAGTGATATAAAGGTCTTTATGGGATGCTCTACATTCTTTTCCATTTCTTATACTAAGTTTCTGTGACGTCACATGTATTTTCCAGTTATAATACATTTCATTCAGTTCAGAACATGCTTTTCCCAGTGTTCCATGAGCCAAGAGACAGGACAGATTACGTAAGTGTAGAATGACCTTTCCTCTCATCTTTGGCTGTAATGAGGATGGTTTTGTTTGTTTGTTTGAAAGTTTCGCTGTGTAGCCCTGGCTGACCTAGAGCTCACAATGTAGACCAGACTGGCCACAAACTTACTAAGTAACTCCTCCTGCCTCTGCCTCCAGAGTGCTGGAATTAAAGGTGTGTATCACCACACCCAGCATGATACTGTTTTTAAAAGAACGCACTGTTACTATGCCATGTACTGAAATTACAGAGACAGAGTGTCTGGCCTTAATAGCAGACTGTTTCTGAGGTCATTAGGCCAAGTTGAGCCATTCAGAAATTGTCCAGTCAAATGCTGGACTGAGTTCTAGGAGCAGAGGTAGCCTGATGCCAGGTGGCTGGGCTGGCTTCTCTGCACCACAAAGGAGAAACCAGATCGGGTGGGCAAGAAGAGTAAACAGAGTAAAATTGCAGAGAAAGACCCAGATAAGAGACCCACCCAGTCTGGGCTCCTCCTCGGCACCATCTGACTCCTGTCACTGGGAACAACTCACTTACCTCAGGTTCATTGTAGCAACCAGGAGACCTAATTAAGAGATGCTAAATATAGCACTGAGTGTGGTGGCGGATTTATAAGACCAACAGGTGGGAAGCTGGCAGTCCGGGATCTCCAGTCAGAGACCAAACCAAGCTATGTGGCAAAATCTTATCTCAAAAAAGCCAAACCTAAACTAGCCGACCAATCTATCAACCAACTGCAAAACAACACAAGGTCATCTCAAATGGACTTCCTGCTTAAAATAAAGGCTGATGATGTGGGCATGTCTCAGTGGTAGAATGCTAGCTTAGCATGAGGAAGGCCTTAAGTTCTAGCTCCAGTACTGAAAATAAAATATAAAGCTTAAAGTAATGGCATATCAATCTATCCACTACTGCACAGTCTCCTTCAAATATTTTTAAATGTACCCAATTACTTGATTTTCTCATTCCAAGAGTTAGACATATCATCAAATTGATTTTCTAAAAATATTTTATTTATTATTGTTATTTATTTTATGTATATGAGTGTGTCACATCCGTTATGTGTAAGTGCATCTGTGCTGTGCAATGCCTGCGGGGGGCAGAAGATGGTGTTGGATCCCCTGGAACTGGAGGTAGCTGCCATCTGGGTTCATGGAATTCGAACCTGGGTCTTCTGTAAGAACAGCCAGTGTTCTTAACCACTGAGCCATCTCTCCAGCCCCAAAGCTCCATAATTTCATTAGTATTTTATAGGCAGCATTCACAATGGAATGAAAGGCAAAGGCATTAGGCTTAGAGTCTTATAATTCATTATGGTGACCAAGGAAAGGGAGTTGGGGGTATTTGGTGGGATCAAGCAGGAATTACAAAATCAGAACCAATGGAAAACCCTGCTCTTTACTGAGGCCTGTTTGCAGACTCATCCTCTCCATCTGCAGTGGAAAGAACTGCCCTCCTCTTCCAGTGAATCAGGGGAGTATTCCTTCACAAGAAGTTTGCACTCTGCTTTTTGTTATGTAAGAGAAAAAGAAAGTTCTTCCTGATCTGTTGATTTTCAGTTCCTTCAATTAAATCTAATCCTTACCCAGCAGGAACACATTGAGGTGACACTCTGATCCCCTTCAGAGCCTACATGTGTCCTTGCTAATTTTATAATTTTGATTAAGATTTTTTTCTGTTATGTCCATACATGTGTGTCTGTGCACACATATTCAGATCTGCCTGTGGAGGCCAAGTCATTGGAATCCCAGCAGCTGGAGTTACAGGCAGTTGTAACCAGCCCTCCTTGAGTCCTGGAAAGCAAACCAAGATTCTCTGCAATAGCAGTTTGTACCGAATCGTCTCTGCAGCCTCCTGGTTTCAATTCTTTTTATGTAGTTTAATATAGTGTTGACAAATAGTAGTAATATATCCAAATGCCCGAACACTGCTGGAAAACCCTGCTTTTTACTGAGGCCTGTTTGCAGACTCATCTGTCCCTCTCCATCTGCAGTAGATATAAAATACCAATGAATTTTTCTTAAACAGAAAGCTTCACCATAAACATTAAATTTTCCAGGTATCATAGAAATTTAAAAATAACACAGGAATTAATGTAGGCTTGTAAGGCATTATTCCAAAGTTTCAGACAGAGTAAGCCCGTGTCTGACATAGTAAATATCCTATTACTCTAAGCTACAGGTGGGATATTGGGCTACAAAAACTCAAGAAAGTTTAGACAATGCCTCAGTGTTTGAAATCCCTGCCAGAGATGAGCAGGTGCCATGCAGGACACACCCCTGGAAGTGCTCTGAAGGGACCTGGACTAGGGACTGGCGATAACAACTGAAGGAGAGCACTCTTGAACACTTCTTCAAACCTGGCTAACCATTGATTACACCACATTTACTGCTCAGCTCGTCTTGGCACAACACAGTGGCATGATCTGGGTGCTATGATTACTCCCAATGTGGAGAGTCACAGTGGAGGTTTGGTAAAGCTGAAGACGTAGCTAGTGAGCTTCCGACTTGTGAGTCACCTTTAGTAGCTTCCATAAAAATATATGAATCCTATATTTAATTAAAAATATTCTAGTACTGGGTTCAAAATTAAAAAGAAACAAGTGAAACATTTTAATATTGGCAGCATAGTATAAACAAACATAATTCCAATAAGTAATATAAAATATGTTGATAAATTTGTTGATACTGTCTTTGTAATCTGGTATGTACTTTAGAGTTAAAGCCCAGTTTGAACCACATTTCAGATGCTTCCCAACCATATATGGCCAATACTTTCTGTCTTAGACAGTAGAACTCGTATACTAAACACTCTGGGGAAACCAACAAGCAAATACTTGGCTGGGAACAGCAACTGGCTGTTTCCATAGAAACAGTAATTTCCATGTGCTTCTGAAATGTAGACTCTTTAGTATCTGATGTTCTACTGCTCATCCTACAAACATGATCTTATTCCAGCTCTGGACAGAATCTAGCCTCGACCAGTCTACAAGTCCCTCCTATCTACTCTGAGGCAGCTTTAATATGGAGCAGCATAACCTTAGAAAAGGAAATTATATCTGAGCATCCATTTTGATGTAAGCCTATTGATCAGAAAATATGAATCAGATTGGTTTGCTGTGAGACTGGTTGAAAATGATATTTTCTGATAGTGTATATTCAGCCAATTTATGGAAATCCCTTAGTCTGAATTGGTCTGTATGCCTACATTTACCTTGAGATGTCATAATAATTCTATGGAATATTCAGTCTAATCATTCTTTTTCATTTGTTTTAGGACAGGATGTTTGTGCTTGTGTGGCCTAGTCTGACCTAAATTTCACCTACAGTACAGGTAGGCCTGAAACTCCTTATCCTCCTGCCTTAGCATCCTGATCAGGGTGATGGGTCGATAGTACCTGTCCACAGACACATGCCAGTGTTGCCTATTGGACTGCATTGATTCACTTTCTCATTTTTACTTTCTTCCATCAGGACCTCTTAATGACACGCTATTCAATAATGAATGGATCTATGAAACCTTCTAGAGTGGCACCAGAGATCTCACTAGAGCATTAAAAGTGTTCAAATTACTTAGAATAGACTTTATATCGACTGCAGCATGCTCTCCCCTCCATTCTCTGGTAATGGCATCACCACCCAAAGCATAATAGGAAGTAGCACCATACCCAGGCCTGAGTCTTCCTAGGCCAGTGAGTCTCAGTGCAGGGGAGATCTGCAGAGGTGACATTAAACAGACTAGCAGGATGCAAGGGAAGAGGATGGAAAATTGCAGAGGGGGGGGTGTCCTGAATTTATGAATTTACAGACAAATTTTCCTGCAGCTAATGAAATTGAATAATTCAAGTGCAGATCTCCAACCTGAAAGACCCAGAGTGAGGAAGGATTGGATTGCAGTCATTTTATTCTGTTTTACGTTTTTCTTGTTTCATTTCGCTGCTTAATGTTTTTTTAAATTTAATTTTATCTTTTATTTTGAAATTTGCTCTGTGTACTATTGGCTAGACTGGAATGCTGTCCTTGACTCTCAGAGATCTAGCTATCCCTGCATCTAGACCAGAGTGGTGAGATTACAGACCAGTGACACCACATCCAGCAGAGGATTAAGATCTGAAAGACTGCTGTGGTGGTGCAGACCTTTAACCCCAGCACTGGGGAGGCAGACACAACCAAGTTTCTGAAATCAAGGCCAGCCTGGTCTCCACAATGAGTTCTAGGTCAGCCTGGTCTACATAGCAAGTTCTGTGAATTTCAGGTCAGCCAGGACTACACTGTGAAACCATGTCTTTAAAAAAAAAAAAAAAATCTGAAATGAGCCAGAAGTTATTCTGAGAGTTTGTCCAAATTACAGAGATGCTTGACAGATGATTCCCTAAAATTACAAATAGTCCTAAAAATGTACCTACATTTGATTTTGAAGCAGAAACCCAGATTCTGTTATCAAAAAAAAAAAAAATCATGATCAACAGTCCTAAAGACAAACTTCCAGTTCATTTTAGACAATATATTACAGAATTAGAATTTATCTGGGGTCAGAGAATAGTAAAAAGTAGAGGTCGATTACACTGTGGTGTGAGAATTACTGAAATAATGACTTTTCTCAATGTTTGTTTTCAAAATTAGAATGTCCATTTTACTTTTCCTATACAGACATACATGAGCTACCCAGCTTTAAATTTGTAGTTTTGTATTGTACTTTTAAAGCTGCGAATTTTAAGCTTTACTTCCCTGAAAACTTTGATCTACAGCTGACTGTCCACACCATTTGGGAATGAAGACCATTAAAACGTAGATTTGATACTTTTATCTTGGGGTGTGGCCAGAGGGTTGTAGCAAACCTTGCTTATAAACCTGCCAGGAAGACAGCATTTTAGGACAAATTACTGCTATGTCTAATACAAGTGCTCAGTTGATTACATGTACAAATATGTCTCAGGTCCAAACGTCAACAGTCTGCTGAGCTCGCATTTTTCCAAGACTTCACTAAGAATAGTCATCTTAAGCTTCCTTGGCCGAAAAGTGAACAGCTAAGCTTAAGAAATCCCAGAACTTGTAAGTTGAACATTTTCATCTAATTCTATTAAAACACTAAACTGAATGTCCCCAATCACCAAGAAATGTTTCCAGCTACTTTAGATGATATTCTGGGTGGCTCTGAAAAGAGCCTTTTGGAAACGGGAGCCGGATGAGTTTACGCCCTTTCGCCGCGGATACGGCGCGCGAGCTGGATGTCCTTGGGCATGATGGTGACGCGCTTGGCGTGGATGGCGCACAGGTTGGTGTCCTCGAACAGCCCCACCAGGTAGGCCTCGCTGGCCTCCTGCAGCGCCATCACGGCCGAGCTCTGGAAGCGCAGGTCGGTCTTGAAGTCCTGCGCGATCTCGCGCACCAGGCGCTGGAACGGCAGCTTGCGGATCAGCAGCTCGGTGGACTTCTGGTAGCGCCGGATCTCGCGCAGCGCCACGGTGCCGGGCCGGTAGCGGTGCGGCTTCTTCACGCCGCCGGTGGCCGGCGCGCTCTTGCGGGCGGCCTTGGTGGCCAGCTGCTTGCGCGGGGCCTTGCCGCCGGTGGACTTGCGGGCCGTCTGCTTCCTGCGCGCCATGGCGAGGGGACCAGGGGCAGGCCAGGTGGCGCGGAGGCCCGGGTATTTATGCCTGGCCTCCCCTCCTTTTATCTGCCCTTTCTCCACTAGCCGCTGTGGACACTCTGCACAGTAATCTTACTCAGGCCAAAGGAGAATGTAATTCAAGGGGTCACAGTGCTGTTTAGACTGAAGCTGTATCTTTGGGGCGTGGCAAAGTTAATGTCATTTTGATAACTGTTAGCTCTCTGGCCTTCAGGCAACGCAGGTCGGACAATACTTCAGGGTCTGATGCTTGTGCAACTGGGGCTAACAGACGGGTATCCTTGTGTACTGGACAAGTGGATATTAATTACCGTTCTGTATCCATAGCTTTCAGGCGGACTACGCTCATACTTCTCTGCATCAAACAGTGCTTTGACCTCGCTCCTCTATTCCCTCCATCCCACTGGTGCTAAAGTGCAAGTCAAATTTCTGGAAACCATTGGCCCGGAACTTAGTACTTTAAAATGACAGCTCATTTAATAGAAAACGTGGGTGGCTCTTAAAAGAGCCTTTGTTGGTGGATTTGAGTACTCAGAATTGGCACAAAGCAGCAGCTTACTTGCCCTTGGCCTTGTGGTGGCTCTCGGTCTTCTTGGGCAGCAGCACGGCCTGGATGTTGGGCAGGACGCCGCCCTGCGCGATGGTGACGCGGCCCAGCAGCTTGTTGAGCTCCTCGTCGTTGCGGATGGCCAGCTGCAGGTGGCGCGGGATGATGCGCGTCTTCTTGTTGTCGCGGGCCGCGTTGCCCGCCAGCTCCAGGATCTCGGCCGTCAGGTACTCCAGCACGGCCGCCAGGTAGACCGGGGCGCCGGCGCCCACCCGCTCCGAGTAGTTGCCCTTGCGCAGCAGCCGGTGCACGCGGCCCACGGGGAACTGCAGGCCGGCCCGGGACGAGCGGGTCTTGGCCTTGGCGCGCGCCTTGCCGCCCTGCTTGCCGCGTCCAGACATGGCTAATTCAAAAGTCGGTATGAGCTAACAGCGTAGGAAGACTAGAGTAATGGACGAGTGGGAAATAAGAAGTATTTATACTAGCTGGAGGGATTCTGTTTGGCCTCCTCCCATTGGCTGTTTTCAAATATCCAATAGAAAATAACAGTCTATGTGCCTCATTTGCATACGCCATATTCATTGTGTTAACCAATGGTTAATCTGACTTTGCAAAACTTTTCGCTTTTTAAATGTTGGTTCTGGAGGTGGAGCTCAGGGCCTTGGGCTCAACAGGCAAGCATTTTCCAGGCCCAGCTCCTCTTCCAGCCTTTGTTTGCATATAAGTAATAACTCATTAATGTTGATATATTTTTAAATTTCGGCCTTCAAACTTTTCTTAGATACAAAGCAGGCTATTTCTGACTTGTTGTAACTCCTTGAGCCTCTGGTTTTTTTCCAGGTCTGCAAATTCTCGTTGGTGTACATTTTTTAAGGGCTTGTTTTATGCTGTTTTAGCTCATTAAACCTTGTAAAAGAACAAGGAAGTGGGCTGGTGACATGCCTCAGTGGTTCTTGTAGAGCATGGGTTCAAATCCCAGCACCCACATGGCAGCTAACAACTATAGGTAACTCCAATTCCAGGGTATCTGACAGCCTCTTCTGTCCTTGGCGGGTATTGCGCAACATGAGTGCACTTACATACGTGCAGGCAATACACGCATACACATAAAATAAAAATAATAAGTAATGAAAAAAAAAAGAACAAGTCTATAAAGGATTCTTTATCTTGATCCAACTGTCCCTTACCTTTCTGGAGACTGGAAGATAGAAACTGAGGTTGAGTGTAAACTCGTGAAGCCCTGGAAGGGGCAGAGGCTGTCAGGAAGAGCCTTTGGGGACCGGTGTTCACATTGTAGAGAGTAGAAAATGCTTCGAACCAGAGCAGCTGTTTCCTTTGCCAGGGAAAGACTGACACAGACTGAGGCCTTAGCTGCTGAATGGGCAAGCTTTGGCCCTCTTTCATCCCCAGTCTCCTTCCCTTGCTCTATTTCAGAATTCTAGACATTTCCAAGAACTCCCAGTCATCTTGAATTCTACTCTGCTCATCCAGCTGATGTTTGTATGGGAGAGAACAGGTCCATGACACTCAAGGTCCGATAACTTGCATCTATGAAATTAAGTCATAGTAGACACATTAACAAGTAGAGAAATACATCAATTTATTTGCTATATGGGAGCACCCCAAGAAATAAAGACAGTACATATTAAAGCTGTGGTAGGATCTAGGTGCTTGTGTGCTGTTTTCACAAAACAAGTAACTCAGGACTGTAGCAAACTTAAAGGACAGCAAAGAATGTTTGGAAAGGATTGACATGTACTTATGACAATGGGTGACAGACTGACAGTGTCTAGGGTTCACCTCCAATGTTTCCTGTGATAAACTTTCCCTGATTAAGAGAACCATAAAAGGGATTTATGGCATTGAGTTCCCTTTGGAGGCTCAGTCTTTCGGCAACTTTTGGTGTTCCAAGAAGCTCTTGGGATTTTCCATTCTCCAGGGGTCCTCAGTTTCACAGATTAGCTTAACAAAATAGGACTTGTGTGGGCTGATTGTTAGAGGTTCAGATAAACAGCAGCCCCGCCCCCATCAAGACGGCCTCAGGGCTCCACAAACCCCTGAGATAAGCACCTCGGTCTTTGAAGTCAAAAGCAGACTTTTCTCCACTATCTGGCCAACACAGCAGGCTTCCCCTCTGATTTCTAAAGGGAGCAGTTTTTAACAGTCCTGCTCTCCTGCCCCCCCCCTCCATCTTTAAGAAATATATCTTCCTGCCTTCTGCAACCACCAGAAACCTCCCCCTATAAAAGACTCCAGCTCTCCACCCGACCCGGGGCAGACATTTTCCCTACCTGGAAGGGAATCTGTCCCACGTGTTCCTTTGCTAGTAAACTCTGTTCCTCTGGAGTTTTATCTGTGTCCTGGTGCTTTCTCCCAATCAACTGGATTCATCCATCGGCTACTTCATCTATCACTGATGTTTCCAGAAGGCTTCCAGAACATCACCTCTGAGCAGTCTGGATTCTTTTAGGACATGGAGAATGAGGACAGAGGAGATACAAATAATAAAATCACAAATAGGAGAAACGGTATTGAATAGAGTCACGTAACAATTGTTTTCAAATAAAAGTGATTAGATTCTGTCATTTTGAGCCTCTGACTTGAAAAGATTTACGAAAATGAAAGTGCTGGCCAGATTTCCTTTTGAAATCAAGATGATACTCTTGGTCAATGGCAACAGTCGTTCATAAAGGCAACCCAGGAAGTGGTATTGAACATATTCTGTGTATATCTTTGAATGTATACATACCAACTCTACTATCTCCTGTAGAGAATTCTCATGAATGTGTGGAGAAGAAACAAAACATATTTTCATAGTTAAGGGGAAAACAGTCACCTGTATCTTCACTATGAAATGCAGTTGTGAAAGCAATGGTAAGATTCTCCCTTCCTTTAACATATCAGTATCAGATCACATACTGCAGTTAGCCGAGTGTACACACTAGCACAAGGTGGTTTCTGGAAGACCAGTCAATGAAAGACCCAGATTAATGGAATCAGAATTGATTTTCACATAGGAGAGGATAAAACTTTCATGTTGTTTATCTGCCCTAGAGTCATGACTTGAAATAACAGATTAAAGAGGATGGCCTTCAAGGAGGTTTAGATTTCCTGAGACAAGAAAGTCTTTGTAACAAAGATCAGGGACTCTTGGATGTTTTTATGACAAGTTTGGTGCAAAGGGCTGACAACAGGAGTTTCAGAATCCCCCTTCCTCAGCCTTCCAATCTGGACTGAGACCAGCAGCTTTGGAGAAAACTTGAGGAAGTTCAGCAAGGCCTGTTGCCTTAGGTCACTGTTTTCTGAAAGAAGGGTCTTCCTTTATCACAGAGGCTATGGAGGACACTGTGGCATGAGGGGGCTCATGAACTGCTTCTGTGCAAATCAGGGAATAACTTACTAGTGGCCTGCTTCGGAGTAGACAGTCTAGAGAACACGGAACGCCTTTCTGGGCCTACCGTTCTAGCAAATATCAAGATGCCATATTTAATATATTTGAAAAGTTTGGTAATGGTGATCATCTATCTTAACTAATAGGCAGGTGGTGTCTTTCCACAAACTTCAAATAAAAACCCTCAACTATACGTACAATTTAATGTAGATTATAACTTGGTTAACAGAATGCTTGCCTAGCACACGTGGGTTCCTGGGTAGAGCCCGGGAAGGAAAAGACAGGCAGAGGTTACACAGGCCTGGAATCCCAGCACTTTATCAGGGAAAGCAAGAGGAACCCAAGTTCAATGTTGTCAGCTACATGATGAGTTCTAGGCCAGGGTCAGCCTGGGATACTAGAGACCCTGCCTCAGGAAAAAAGAAGAAGAATAATAATTTAAACTTGCTGAGAGGTGATGAATTCAGGCCTGAGAAGCCAGGCACTTGTCAATGTTTTTCTCCCCAAGATCATGAACAGTCTCTCAAACTTCTGCCTTTTCTTTGAAGACCTTATGTTTCAAAAGCTGTCATTCTTCCATACAATTAGATGTAATCTGAAATAAAACAAATTATTCATGACTTTCTATTGGAAATAAAAGAGAAATAAACAGGCAAGGGGGGAGTTAAAGTGAGAAAATAATCCCCACCTTCAGACTCTGAAATTGGTGAGTACTACCACATCTCTCCAAAAGATCCTAAATAGCAGTTTCTTAACTGAGACAATTCCAATTATTCTGGGGGCAGGGGGGGGGTTGTCAACAGAAAAGTACTGACTTTTAAGACAAGGACTTTCCCATCAGTAATTTGTGGACAATGATATAAATTGCTTTTGGAAGCCACGCCTTTAATCCTAGCAGTCAAGAGACAGAGGCAAGGTGTTCTCGGGACAGGCTGGTAAAACACTATGAACTCCCCGTGGGGCTACAGGGAGATCCTGTCTCAATCACAACCTGTACTCCCACTCCCCCCAAAATGGTTTTGGAGCTTGGAGCTAGCTTTCTCCAGAGCCTGGATTTCATCCTCAAGGCAATTATCAAGACAGAAGAAAAACTACCTCTCACAGAGTTCGTGTCGCCTATTGTGTTCAAATTAATATATTAAGATCTTTTCGATTAGTTCCTGAAAATCTTCATGTCACTACATGGCATGCTCGCAGGCAGTGGGAAAACTTTTTTTCTGTTCAGTAGGTAGTGACCCAAGCGTCTCCCCTCCCCTCGCCCGCAGGGCCCACCCCAGCATGCCACCACGCCTTTCTCAACCAATGCAGACACAAATATCTAGTGGTAACTTTCTTAGTTATCAGTCAGCTGTCTACAGTTCTGCCGAACCACTACATATTGGCAGGAGTTGGAGCGCGGGAAATTTAAACTTACGGTCCCTGTACGGTCCAGTCAGTACCCGTCCAAATCCGAACTCAGGATTTCCGGCATGCAAATTTAACATAGGAAAATCGTTAAAGAACTGTAGATACTTTCAGCTGAAGGGTTCAGATAGTCCTATCGCTACAGTACTTAATTTCCAGTAAAGCCCCCACTCAACCAAACCCCGTCCCCAAGTTCTCCTAATGTTATACTAAATTTCCAGGCGTGAGCTCCTTAACCACACCCTCACCTCTAGGACTGTCCCTACGCACTCGAGGCAGGCATAACCGACCTCATTAACCCAGAAGCCAGCCTCCTGAAGTCCGATCCTAAACCTGAGGGGCTGGAGCAGTCGCTCACGATTGACTTAGAACCACAACTCTCTTTGGACAACGTGGGTGGCTCTGAAAAGAGCCGTTGGACAAAGACATGCCTACAAGGGCATTTATTTGGAGCTGGTGTACTTGGTGACGGCCTTGGTGCCCTCGGACACGGCGTGCTTGGCCAGCTCCCCAGGCAGCAGCAGACGCACGGCCGTCTGGATCTCCCGGGACGTGATGGTCGAGCGCTTGTTGTAGTGCGCCAGGCGCGACGCCTCGCCCGCGATGCGCTCGAAGATGTCGTTGACGAACGAGTTCATGATGCCCATGGCCTTGGACGAGATGCCCGTGTCGGGGTGCACCTGCTTCAGCACCTTGTATACGTAGATGGAATAGCTCTCCTTGCGGCTGCGCTTGCGCTTTTTGCCGTCCTTCTTCTGCGCTTTGGTGATTGCTTTCTTGGAGCCCTTCTTCGGGGCGGGCGCAGATTTGGAGGGCTCAGGCATACTGCTCTAACACCGCTCAGAATCTACTTGATTGCAAGGGTGCTCCGAACCTGCGTCCCTTTATTTATAGACGTGTAATTCAAATGAAGACTTAAGGAATTTAACTCCTGATTGGCCACGAGGACCCCACACCAAAGCGGTCCGCCATATGCAAATGAAGGCTTCAAACTCTCATTTTCTATTGGACAGAAGTCCAGACGTATTTTGACCAATAGAATGGTGTGTTCTCATAGCCCGCCATTATCTATAAAGCGAAATCTTCGGTCTGCCGCAGTGGTTCGCGTTAGAACATTTAGCGCATCTAAGTACTACAAAACCATGTCTGGGCGCGGCAAGCAAGGCGGCAAGGCGCGCGCCAAGGCCAAGACCCGCTCGTCCCGGGCCGGCCTGCAATTCCCCGTGGGCCGCGTGCACCGGCTGCTGCGCAAGGGCAACTACTCGGAGCGGGTGGGCGCCGGCGCCCCGGTCTACCTGGCGGCCGTGCTGGAGTACCTGACGGCCGAGATCCTGGAGCTGGCGGGCAACGCGGCCCGCGACAACAAGAAGACGCGCATCATCCCGCGCCACCTGCAGCTGGCCATCCGCAACGACGAGGAGCTCAACAAGCTGCTGGGCCGCGTCACCATCGCGCAGGGCGGCGTCCTGCCCAACATCCAGGCCGTGCTGCTGCCCAAGAAGACCGAGAGCCACCACAAGGCCAAGGGCAAGTAAGCTGCTGCTTTGTGCCAATTCTGAGTACTCAAATCCACCAACAAAGGCTCTTTTAAGAGCCACCCACGTTTTCTATTAAATGAGCTGTCATTTTAAAGTACTAAGTTCCGGGCCAATGGTTTCCAGAAATTTGACTTGCACTTTAGGACCAGTGGGATGGAGGGAATAGAGGAGCGAGGTCAAAGCACTGTTTGATGCTGAGAAGTATGAGCATAGTCCGCCTGAAAGCTATGGATACAGAACGGTAATTAATATCCACTTGTCCAGTACACAAGGATACCCGTCTGTTAGCCCCAGTTGCACAAGCATCAGACTCTGAAGTATTGTCCGACCTGCGTTGCCTGAAGGCCAGAGAGCTAATAGGTATCAAAATGACATTAACTTTGCCACGCCCCAAAGATACAGCTTCAGTCTAAACAGCACTGTGACCCCTTGAATTACATTCTCCTTTGGCCTGAGTAAGATTACTGTGCAGAGTGTCCACAGCGGCTAGTGGAGAAAGGGCAGATAAAAGGAGGGGAGGCCAGCGATGGGGAAGAGGGCGCTGGGCTCCTCCGCCATCCCGAAAGCAGCTCTTGAGGAGGGGGGCGGAGCAGAGACGGACCAATCCGGTAAAAGCGCGGGTCCTTTTGAATGTTAGCAGGTCCAATGGCTGCCGGTCGGACGGTATAAAGGCCGCAGGGTTCGGCGCGGGGCACTGCAGTCTCCGCGGACTCTCCTTGTTGTGAGCATGGCGCGCACGAAGCAGACGGCCCGCAAGTCCACCGGCGGCAAGGCCCCGCGCAAGCAGCTGGCTACCAAGGCCGCCCGCAAGAGCGCGCCGGCCACCGGCGGCGTGAAGAAGCCGCACCGCTACCGGCCCGGCACCGTGGCGCTGCGCGAGATCCGGCGCTACCAGAAGTCCACCGAGCTGCTGATCCGCAAGCTGCCGTTCCAGCGCCTGGTGCGCGAGATCGCGCAGGACTTCAAGACCGACCTGCGCTTCCAGAGCTCGGCCGTGATGGCGCTGCAGGAGGCCAGCGAGGCCTACCTGGTGGGGCTGTTCGAGGACACCAACCTGTGCGCCATCCACGCCAAGCGCGTCACCATCATGCCCAAGGACATCCAGCTGGCGCGCCGCATCCGCGGGGAGAGGGCGTAAACTGCTACGAGAGTGATCGCTGAACCCAAAGGCTCTTTTCAGAGCCACCCAAGTTTTCCTACGAAAGAAGCTGTGATGCATTCAATTTATTTACATGATACCTTCAATAAGCTCAAGGGGTTGCCAACTTTGGGTAGACAGGTTTTCATGTATCTAGATTTGGGCACCAGTTCCCTAGTTTACAGATATTTCAGGCTGCATCACGTCTGTAACTAGTAAGTCTTTTGTCAAATTTCTTTACTAAGTGTAGATGTGTGCTGTTTTTTTCTCCTGGCTGCCGCTGAAGGGTTTCAACACAGACAATGATGGGTGTAGTCCCAAAGAAATAAAAGTGCACCACTAATTGGGACTTGTTTGTTTTGAAACTAAATGAGCTACATCAGCTCGAGGATGGAAGCCACTTATTCTAGACCTATTTTCCTATCCCTAATATTCTTCCTATACCTAAATTCTTAATATGTGCAGTAATCATATAATTGCTGATAGGTGAATTGATAAACCATGCTAAAAATTATTTGGACAACTAACTACCTAGATTTAAGTTGAACTGGGTAGTTTAATTGGACTTGTGTACCAGGGTGTTCTTCCTTTAGGTTTGCAAAACCGTATTTTCTAAGTAATGAAAATGAATCTTGGTGGCTCAGGCCTGCAATCCCAGCTAGCCCACAGGTAATGGCTGCCAGGATCACTGCCTGGGTTAGAGAATCAGTCCAAGGCCAGCCTGGATAATTAAGCAAGACCTCCTCTCAGTGAAATTTAAAAAATGCTGCTGGTATATATAGGTCAGAGGGAGAGAGCCCTTGCTTAGCATGAGTGAGCCCTAGATTCAATCCTCAGTAAAGCGTGGGATGCTCAACCAGCTAAGGGCCTAGCACTTCCATGTACTGGTTTTAGCTGTGCTGGCATTGATGTACAGTGCTTTACTTTATCCTTAATATAATTTCTTCATCTGTAAGAAATAAGTGTTTTGGGTACAGGTCCTGACAGGCAGCAAAGAAAAAGCAAAAGTCCCTGTTACTCTCTGAGTCCGGTTTTCACAGTTTTAACTCGGCCTGGCTCTTTTCACAAGCTCCATCACGTTTCCTGCTGCAATGGCAGGTAAAGGAGATTCTGGGTTCAGTTTTCATTTACTTAAGGCTTTCAAGAGAAATATACAGTGTCTACAAAAGGAAAAAAAAAAAAGCACCTATTTAGAGTACTAATCCTACTGTGTGTGGCTCTCAGGGGCAGCACAGTGCAATTTGAGGAAAGCCTGCTCAGGTTAGTGTTACAATGTCATCTCGGACAAATCAGTCTGTCCATGTGAAAAATGGGGTCAACAACAATCCACCTTCCAGGATGGTGATTAGGATATGATATGACTTTCTGACCCCATGCCGAGTACATTTTTTCTGAGTTGCATATTGCTTACCTTTATACACTTTTAATTTTTAAATTTTTTAAAAAATTTATGTGTATGAGTGTATTGCCTGCATATGAGTGTATTGCCTGCATGTAAGAGCACCCATGTTGTGTTAATGCCTTTAGGGGTCAGAAGAGGGCATAGAATTCCCCTGGAACTGGAGTTAAGAAAAGATGTTAGCTGCCACGTAGGAGCTGGAAATCAAACCCAGATCATCTGCAAGAGCAGCCAAGGCTCAACTGCTGAGGGATATCTCCAGCCCCCAAATTAAAGTTTTTTAATAACCCAAACTTTCGCTTTTTAAATTCCTTTTAACTCGGCATTTCTTAACTGCATATAGTTTAGAAATAAAATTTCAGCATGTATTTTAAAATTAAGAAATTCAAGCCTTTTTTGTTTAAAAAGCAGAACTAATGTTCTGACTGCCCTTTTTCCTCCTCCCACAGAAAGAAAGCAACATTCTTCAGAGGGTCTTTTCAGGTAGGTATACAAACACAGGCATTCTCACAATAGCTAAGAGGAACTTGCATTTTGTTAAAATGGTATTTTCCTTTCGCCTCCTCCCATAGCTTACATTCCCACAAGTCTCTTTATTCAACTCATTACAAATACACTTAGTTTTTGTAACTTCTTTGGGTTTTCATTTGTTTTTGGTATTTTGTTGCCTTGTCTCATAAACCTTATATAAAATCTATAATGCCAAATCATTCTGAGGCCCAGATGGAGGATTTAATAGGGTATTATCTTGGCATAATTGGACACATGGTACGCATTAAATGTTAGTTGTTGCAAGGTCTTCCATTAAACAGGATTTTCTCATGCAGGTGCCACAGAGTGATAGTATTTCCAGGCTGAAATTACAATTACTGATCTAGGGGACAACAGCAGTCTTTGTTAGAAAGAGTGTGAAAAGTTCAAGGTTTGCAGAGGACAGGAATAAGTCATACTCAGGATGGACTGTTTACACTTACAATTTAGCAGTAAAAACATATACAGGGGCCCAAGCCTGTAACCCCTGGTCTCAGGAGCCTGAGGCATGGGTAACTCACTCAGACCCTTCATGGAAAAGAAAGAAAGAAAGAAGAAAGAAAGGAGGGAAGGAGGGAGGGAGGGAGGGAGGGAGGGAGGACAGAGAGACAGAAGTTAACAGTAGGCCTCTCAAGCTATCCAGTAGGAGAGATTTCCTGATTGATGAGTGCTTTACAAGGATAGACCTTGACTGAGGTCTATAGCTATTCGGTCCAGCCACATTTTAAGCTTGGTCTAAGAAGTTGGGATGTGATTTTCAGCACCCAAAGGGAAACAGGACAAAAAGAATTTTTGAGCAATAATATCTAAAGTTTCACACATGAAATGCAAAACAGAATTTTTCAGCATAATGTTCTTTATTACATGCCGTGATTTTAAGAAGTCCTCCCTAACAAACATATTTGACCTTATGGGGAGCTCAGGGAGTTTCCTAATTCTAGAAAAGTATTAAAATTGTAACAGGTAAACATGTTATATAGTGCTTCTTTGAAACAATCTCTTGTCTACTGTTCTAATTGCATTACCCAGTTCTCACAAAAATACTGGTATCATTAGCACCCTAGTTCTACAGGTGAAAACACGAAGTGGAAACCTGACAGTTCACATAGCCTAATCCCTCTTTTTGAATGAGAATATACACTTCCACTTGTGGCAAAATCCCTTCGCGGCTTCTCCAGGTCTTGATCAGGCCCTGCAGATTAAGAGTACAGAGATTTAGCCATCTTAAAGCCTTAATAAAATGAGAACCCAAAGAACCATTTAATTGATTACGTGGGGGACTGGGCAAAGAAGTGTCGATTTGACAAAGCAACGGGCTTTGCGCCCTGCTGACAAGGGTTATTTAACAAAGCAATGACACTTGCACCTCTCCTCCCCAATTCCTGACCTTGATAAAAATTTTCTACCAGTGTAGGAGGGCGTCTGTCATGTGGTATGGTGGCCCGGCTTTTAATTCCAGCACTCAGGAGTCAGAGGCATCCAGATTATCTGTGAGATGAGGCCAGCCTGGTCTATAGAGCGAGTTCCAGGCCAGTTTTGGGCTGCAGGGAAAACCTGTCTCAAAAAGACCCAAAACAGAGAGATTCGGAGGTTAAGGGCACTGGCTGCTCTTGCAGAGGACCTGGGTTCGATTTACATCACCCACATGGCAGCTAACAATCACCCATAACTCCAGTTCTAGTGGATCCATCGTCCTCTTCCGACCTCTGGGCATTGCACGACTGAGGTGACTCATACTTGTAGGCAATACACTCATACACGTAAAGTTAGAAGTATTTTTTGAAAGACCACGTGTTTGGGGGGCACCTGGTGTTTTCTAAGCTTCTATAACAAAATATTCTAGAACGGTTTATTTTTCACTCTAATTGCTGCGCCATTGAATCTGAGCCCTTAGTAAGATTTTTAGATATACTGTTGATTATAGTGCAAAGGTGGGACGGTTAAACCTCCAGGGATTAAAAGGAGTGAGCGGTGCCTAGTTCATTCAGTCACCGCCCCCAAATGGGCGAGGCAAAGCCTTCAGTTGCAGACTGTCCCTGCCCACTCGGGGTTCTCAATCAGGTCCGACTTCAGGTCTATAATTCTCTGTGGCTGTGAAAGCGCGGTTACTCACCTCCTAAAGCTTTTAGCTTCTGAACATGTCCGGTCGCGGCAAGGGCGGGAAGGGCCTGGGCAAGGGCGGCGCCAAGCGCCACCGCAAAGTCCTGCGCGACAACATCCAGGGCATCACCAAGCCCGCCATCCGGCGCCTGGCCCGGCGCGGCGGCGTCAAGCGCATCTCCGGCCTCATCTACGAGGAGACCCGCGGGGTGCTGAAGGTCTTCCTGGAGAACGTGATCCGCGACGCCGTCACCTACACGGAGCACGCCAAGCGCAAGACGGTCACGGCCATGGACGTGGTCTACGCGCTCAAGCGCCAGGGCCGCACGCTCTACGGCTTCGGCGGCTGATGAGCTCAGACCGCTGTCCCCACAAAGGCCCTTTTCAGGGCCGCCACCTGCTCCCGGAGGAGCTGTGCATTGTCAGGGGCGTCGGCTGGTGTTCTCCGAATGTCCTGCTTGTGACGGGGCGAGGCGCAAGTGCGGATTGCTGTGTCCCGGGTCAGGTTGCTATTGCTTGGGTGATTGCCCCCTTTCCCGGGTAGTGTTGGTCCCTTGTGCAGGTTATTTGCAAAGAGAAAACCAGCTTTGACTGGAGTTCAGAGCTTCGGTCGGCCGGGCGTACAGGGGCCCCTGTCGCTTAAGCGGACCACGCCAGGTACTCAGGAGTGCTTACAAGCAGGGTAGTCTTACATGGCCGCCTTCCACGGCCCTTCTCCCGGCTGCCAGTTGGATTTTCCTGATGGTTTTTGCTGTGTGACGTCACCCATTGCCTGGCGTTAAAGGCACATTTCTCCCCAGGCTGGGGACCCTAGAGCTTCCTGTGTGAGGGGATTTCGAAACTTCTCACTTAGCAGACAAATCAGCGTTTTAGCTTTCTCGGACTCCCAGGTCCCCACAAAGTCTAACCTGGAAGGAAATGAGCAAGCAGTGGGGTCTCCCCGGCTTGGCCTTCCTTTTCTGCTTCTAAACCGAAAGAGCAGTTGGTCTTTTAAAAAGAAGGGTTCGAAGTTTGGTTATTTACACCTGCAGCCTGGCTATGGAGGCTGAAGGAGGATTGTAAACTGCAGGCTGGCCTCGGTTGCCTAGTGGATGGGTTTAGTAGGGGTGTCCTTGAAGCTGTCCTTCACGAGTTGTCTAATGAAACTTAGATAACATTCAGAACCTAAACAAAATACACTGTAATAATGAGTGGTTGGAGGGGTCCGAGGGTCATCCAAGGAAGTAACATTTCTATCCAGAAAATAGAGCACCACACAGCCTTACTACAGTGGCATAGGTCTGTCATTCCAGAAACAGATGCAGGAGCTGAAATTTAAGGCCAGCCTGGGGTACCTAGTGAGAGTCTCAGAAAAAGAAAATTGAGAAAATTGTACTCCACTATGCCTTGTTCTATGCCATCTCAGCTCTCAGACCCCTTCATTGACTTTGCTATGCCTGTCTAGTTCCACTAATGTGCTCTTGAAATTATGTTTGTTCAGTAGAACTCCATGGACTAGCTGTCAAGCCAGGTGCACGTGTAGCAGGGCCAAAGTCTATGACCCTGGACCTTCCAGCCGTTTCTCAACACTGCAGCAAGAACAATTACTTTAAAAATCATGTGTGTGTGTGTGTGTGTGTGTGTGTATGAATGCATTGCCTGCATGCATGCCCCTGTCATGCAGTACCCAACAGGGCTTAGGATATGCTGGAACCAGAGTTAAGGACGGTGTTAGCCACCTTGTGGTGCTGGGAATTGAACCTGGGTCCTCTGTAAAAGCAACCAGTGCTCTTAACCACTAAGCCATCTCTCCAGCCCCGGAAGTAGTTACTTCTAAAGATGTCCATCTTCTCACTGATGAGGAAAAGTTGTATAACTTTCCATATAGTCTTTTAAGTTTAGATTGTTTTTCAGTTTTTCTTTGTTTTACTTACTAGGTAGATGTCTAGAAATGCAGCCCTGTGGTGCTCAGACATGTTATACTGCTAGGTGATGTGTGCATTACCCTGAGATGTTTTATTACTCTGCACTAATGCCTTGAAGCTTTATGATGTTTAGCAGTCATCATGTCTGACTACAGATAGGATGTAAGTTAAAGGAATGGAAAGTTCACCAAATGATATGATGAGACACCTGGCCCAATTAGATTAGGAAGAGTGTAGCTCAAATGTGTCAGAAATCCAAACGTTGCTGGTGATACATGATTTTGTAAACTGAAAGGACCGTTTGACAAGGTTCCAGCCCAAATAGGCTAACCTAGCTGTAGGTCAAAAGGACAGCAGATGTCTTGACCGGCACCTGGGATATCTACTTTAAAAACTATGCTGGCCAAGTGAACTCAATAAGGAACTACCTGAGATAACATGGCCCATCATGAAAAGAAACACAGGGCCCAGGTGCTAACCATAAAAATGATGATGTAAAATTGACTATAAAATCTTCATCTGTACTACAGATTGGGGCCCCAGAATCTAATTATCTGTGATCTGCAACATCTTAACTATGACCTTGAAGTTCAGTCATTTGGCCTATAGACTCTGTAAGGCAGCTCTCCCTCCCTCCCTCCCTCCCTCCCTCTGTTCACAGAATCCAGTGTCCTTATCACAGCACACACATTTTCCTGAGTTGGAGGGCTTCCTCAGCATGGAGGCCTAACTCTTGGCAGGTCTCGGGCAAAGCCAGATGGTGTGGCCCTAGCAGATCCTGACTCCATTGACCTCTTTTCTCATCACATTTCTTTTGCTATTTCTGGAATGAATAAAATATTCCTTTCCTGTCATCAGAGACTCTATATGTATTTTTCCTACATTGTATGCCTGGCTATCAACCTTTCTTCATTCAGGCCTGTTCAAATCCCCACTTATCATGCTGAACTGGTCATTTGTAAAATGCTATTTTACCTGCAACAATATTTTAAAAAACCGTGTGTGTGTGTGTGTGTGTGTGTGTGTGTGCGTGACGCCTGTAGACTAGAATATAATTCCTTGAAAAGTGGGTGCTTTATTGTGTCCTTGTATCTCTATCATTAAAATGGAGCCACTGACACCTCAGAGTTTGCAGAGATTATTAGTTTGTTTTCTTTTCTTTTTTCTAAATTATTATTTTTGTGTGTGTGACCATGTAGGTGGGTATCTGTGTATATGTGTGTATGCACTTTCCATGGTGCATTTGTAGAGGTCAGAGGACAACTTGGGGGAGTTGGTTCTTTCCTTCTGTTTTATGTCCCAGGTTGAATTTGGGTTGTCAGGCTTGGCAGCAAACAGTGTCACCACCATTAACCTGAAACATGATAGTTTGCTCTCCATCTTAAGAGGTAATACAGATTTGCAAATCCAGGGCTGGCTGAGGCTTCCATTCAAACCCAAGGTGGGCATGACCAAGGTGAAAGCACCTGCCAAAGGCAGGTCGGGCTAGCTAGTATGGCAACCACATCTCCCACTTATGAGGTCTGAACCCACAGATCTCTACACTCAAGAGGAGTGAGTTCAAATTTGCTCTCCAGGATCTCAAGGAGGACAACAGGATCCACATGGTATGCCAGTAATAAACCCCTCCGAAGGAACAGGGTAAAAAGAATGAAATGATCACCCTCACTACAGTTTTGCTCACTGATCTATTCCTGAAACCTTCCAGTATGCAGCTGTGACTTTCTCCATTGGCTTAAAATAGAGTATGTTGAACATTTTCATTGTTCCCTAAGAAATTTTGGTTGGAAAATAGGAAAAAAAAAAAAAAAATCAAGGAGAGTCACTCAAAACTACTAGGCTAAGGGTTCAAATCACTCCCTTATAAAATGATGACAAAAGGAAGGAAAAAAAGGAATAAAATAAAATGTAAAATATAAAACCACAAAGTGCCGAGCTGGGCCAATTCAGGGATACATACCAGTAATCCTAGCACTTGGGAGGTGGAGGTAGGAGGATCAAAGGTTCTAGACCAGCCTTGAGACCCTACTTTATGCAAAACAAGCCAAATTAGCCTAGTGGAGAAATGTTTTAACACTCTTAGGAGTCAGGTTTTCCCTAGCAGCCTTCTCCAGCCTGGTTCTAATCTGTACTGCCTGAACAGAGGACTAGATCAGATACTTATTCCTCAAATGGCTGCACTAAATCCTAACTTTGCACAGGAATGCATCCAGCGACCAGCACCTGCCTCAGCTACTCGGCGACCGAAATGGGAGCTGTATGTTTACACAGCACAAAAGGTCTACCCCTCAGATGGATTTTAGTGCACTTACACAGTAGTGCAAACATCACAACCAGTTTTAGGTCATTTCCAACACCAAGTCTATTCTGTAAAGGAGAAAAACAAGACTTAACAGTGCAAAGCTGAGCCCTAAGCCCCCTTTTCTCTCCCCAAACCTGGGCGCCACTTCAAGCAGAAATCTGGTTTCTTTCTTTTCAGTTCTGCACGCTGCACATGGTCGGGGGACATCTGGAGTCTTCGATTCTACCTTGCAGCGAACGAGTTCTTTTCCTCCATTTCACCTGGACTTGCAGCCACTTTCTAACCCCTCCGGCTTGCCTCCAGACAATCAGAAGACAGGTCACTGGTTCCAACTGGCTGCAGAAAGGGCTAGCTCAAGGGAAAGTTTTGTTCATTCCCAGTAGGAAACTTCACAAGTTTTCCCCAATGTAATCTTAACCCAGCGACGGGGTCAGATACTTACATGGGCTTTGAGCTCATCTGGGTCGGACTTCGCACTTTCTCAGCCTTTGCGCCCTTGGTTGAGCTACATAGGCACCGCACACCACATCTAAGGCCATATGTAAGTATTACCGCTCATGTATTGAGTATGTGGGCGGCCCTGAGAAGGGCCTTTGGGTCAAAAAATTAGGAAAAAACAAACTAATAAATCTGGCATCTTAGCCGCCGAAGCCGTAGAGCGTGCGGCCCTGGCGCTTGAGCGCGTAGACCACGTCCATGGCCGTGACCGTCTTGCGCTTGGCGTGCTCCGTGTAGGTGACGGCGTCGCGGATCACGTTCTCCAGGAAGACCTTCAGCACCCCGCGGGTCTCCTCGTAGATGAGGCCGGAGATGCGCTTGACGCCGCCGCGCCGGGCCAGGCGCCGGATGGCGGGCTTGGTGATGCCCTGGATGTTGTCGCGCAGGACTTTGCGGTGGCGCTTGGCGCCGCCCTTGCCGAGGCCCTTCCCGCCCTTGCCGCGTCCAGACATGCTTTAGCAACTACGGAAACTAAAGCGAGTGAGAAGGGAGAGTGGGTCCCTATATATCCGCTTCCCTTTGTCCCCGCCCCACAGACGCCGAGAAAGATTTCCCGCCGGCGGGAAAAGTGACGCAGCACGCCCCGCCCTCAAGCCCTACCTAGGCTTCTGGGCCGGGGCATGCAGCCTTACAATTTCAAATATACATACATAACATACATACACACACACACGCACACAAACCTTCCAGTTTGCTTTCCTAGACTTAAATTTTAATACCCGATAAACCAGGCGGGTATTTACACCCGTTTGTCGAGGATTGCATTGTAACTGGCCCGTAAGTGTATCCCCAAGGTTGGGGTAGAATTCACTTTGCGCCCCTTCCTTGGTGCAAGGACTACGGACTGGTGACCAGAGACACTGAGGTTCAGCCCACGTTTGTGTATTTTCTGCAGGTAACAGAGGCTCTGGGAATTCTCTGGCCCCTCGTCATGGGCAACTTCTGAACACAATGGAGTGTAGCATTTCAGAGAGCCACTATTTTACAGCCACTTTACTTGAAATTGTAGGTGGCTCTGAAAAGAGCCTTTGGGGTTAGGAAGGAGAGTTCACGCCCTCTCCCCACGGATGCGGCGCGCCAGCTGGATGTCCTTGGGCATGATGGTGACGCGCTTGGCGTGGATGGCGCACAGGTTGGTGTCCTCGAACAGCCCCACCAGGTAGGCCTCGCTGGCCTCCTGCAGCGCCATCACGGCCGAGCTCTGGAAGCGCAGGTCGGTCTTGAAGTCTTGCGCGATCTCGCGCACCAGGCGCTGGAACGGCAGCTTACGGATCAGCAGCTCGGTGGACTTTTGGTAGCGCCGGATCTCGCGCAGCGCCACGGTGCCGGGCCGGTAGCGGTGCGGCTTCTTCACGCCGCCGGTGGCCGGGGCGCTCTTGCGGGCGGCCTTGGTAGCCAGCTGCTTGCGCGGGGCCTTGCCGCCGGTGGACTTGCGGGCCGTCTGCTTCGTACGTGCCATTGCAAAGAGAAACTACAAGACCTGGCTACAATTGGCCAAATGACAACTGCGTGTGCCTTACTACTATTTATAGTAGCCACCGTGTACTGATTGGATGAAAAGAATGTTCAACTGTGACGCTTCAGACTCTGATTGGTCCGTCTTTGCAGCCCCCATTGTGCAGTCATCCTGGCTACCGTAGCCCATGGCGGCTGCTCAGCCCCTGTCCGGTACCTCTGCGCCCTTCTGCGGGACCGATGCCGCCCTTGGGAAGCAGGCAGGAAACGCCCCAAACCAGCGGGAGACCAGCGGGAAAAGAACCATCTGTAAGTGCGGACGAGCAATCTCCTTCTTGAAATGTAGATTGTGGCTCTGCAGCGATGCTGGCCCAAACTCTAGTTTTGATTGGCTAACTCTGTTTTCCTAAGTAGCCAACAAGAAAGCGTATCTACAACTCCTCATTTGCATGCAGCAGCTCCATTTTTTTTTTTTTTTTTTTCTATAGCCTTACCAAAAACAAAGGCCAGGACCATCCATTGGATAAAGTAGTACAAACAATTCAGGTCAAGCCATTCTAAATATTTCTGCATTAAGAAGCTGCGTTTGGTTAGTTTATATTCTTATATTTTATAATCGATTATCCTTCAACTATAAATGCGTAAATCTATTTCAACATTCTTGGTCAGAAATTACTCGACACATGAAAAATTTTAACAAGATGGGCAGATAGGAGCTAACACCTTTACTTATTTCGTATTCTCTTTAAAAGAAATGAGGCAAAATTTGTTTTCTAAGGCTGTTGCGGACTTACTTGAAAATCACACGCGCGGGAATGAGCCGTCGTGGCTCTCCATGGCTTTCCAGAGCAATAGGATTCTGGAGTTCAGTAGCGTTTTAAAGCTTTTGACCGAATCTGCAATCATTAACTACGCCGGTGCTTATAGGCACGGTTAAAGGGAGATTGCTCTTAAGTGTTAGGCCACGGGTATCACCTTATATTTTCTTAAGAAAGTGGATGTAAACTCTAAACTCGTGACAATGTGGGAAATTTTCCTCCACCTAGCATTTATTTAGCACCTCTGACAGGCTCTAGTGTTGCAAGAGGGGACGGAGCGGACACACAGTGGCGATGTTATCTGCGGTTAATAAATTCTGGAACCCTTCACATTTCATTCTTTGACTAACACCTGAAAAGTGACTTACAAAGATATTCAGTGCTGCAGGAACCAGTTCTGCGTTTGCAAACAAGGTCTGCAGCTTCGCTTTCCATCCAGAACCAGAGCAACCTAGTACTTATTTCCCTGATAAGCTGCAAGGAACATCTAAGGGGTTCTGACTTAGCCATTCACCCCGTCACAAACCCAGCTGGTTTGGGGGATACCTGCAGGAAAGCACCGCGTCACCCTGCTGTGTTTGAAATCCTAACCCCATATAAACTGCGCTCAAGGAGAGGAGGAGCCGGGCAATGGCAGCTGCATTCTGGGACCGGGAGCGCACAAGTCCGAGGGGCGGGGCTTCAGGACCTAGGGGCGGGGCTTCGCGTGGGGCGGGCACTCACGTGCACCAATCACAGCACGGCCCCGCTCTATAAATAGGCTGTGCTGGGCTTGCGTCGTTCTCCTGCTCTTCGCCTTGTTGGTTGTTTGTTCAGCTTTTCCATCCAACATGTCTGAGACTCCGCCTGTCGCTCAGCCCACGTCCGCTGCTCCCGAGAAGCCCGCGGCCGTAAAGAAGCCTAAGAAGCCCGCCAAGGCGGCCACTAAGAAGAAGCCCGCGGGCCCCTCGGTGTCCGAGCTCATCGTCCACGCCGTCTCCACCTCCAAGGAGCGCAGCGGCGTGTCCCTGGCCGCGCTCAAGAAGGCGCTGGCGGCCGCGGGCTACGACGTGGAGAAGAACAACAGCCGCATCAAGCTGGGGCTCAAGAGCCTGGTGAGCAAGGGCACCCTGGTGCAGACCAAGGGCACCGGTGCCGCCGGCTCCTTCAAGCTCAACAAGAAGGCGGAGGCCAAGCCGACCACCAGCAAGGTGTCGGCCAAGGCCAAGACCCCCAGCGCTGCCAAAAAGCCCAAGAAGACTGCGGGGGCCTCGGCCAAGAAGGCTGTCAAGACTCCCAAGAAGCCTAAGAAGCCCGCTGTCTCCAAGAAGGCCGCCAAGAGCCCCAAGAAGCCCAAGGTGGTGAAGGCCAAGAAGGTGGCCAAGAGCCCCGCCAAGCCGAAGGCTGTGAAGCCCAAGGCGGCGAAGGCCAAGGTGACCAAGCCCAAGACGGCTGCGAAGCCCAAGAAGGCGGCGCCCAAGAAGAAGTGAACAGTTGGAGGCTTCTCTTCAGTGACCCAACGGCTCTTTTCAGAGCCACCTACACAAGTCTGAGAAAGGGCTGGACACGGGCTTGCTGTGCGCAGTCACGTGGCGAAGCATTCTGGGGCAATCGGGGCTAGATCTGGGATGGTGCACTCGGTTATCGCTTGGTTAGGCCTGCGCTTAGCGCATATGGTTATGCTTGCAAGGCTACCGCAACAGGCTTAGGATGGAAAGCTCCGAGTCCGAAGGGTGGAGCTGCCCTCCGTGAAGTGGGGCTGGTGCCCTGTGGGTCTTGCGCAGCTGTTTATAATTTGGGTGTGGGTTAGGCTTGGAGGGCGTGGTCCACAGCTGATAAGTTTAGTTGCAATACAATACTGGCGCTCAAACTTGCAGGAAGGTTAAATGCTTGGAAAGTAGTTTCTTGGCGTGGACTGATGTTTAGCTTACAGGATTTGTGGTCCTGGTGATCAACCTCATTCGCTACTGGAGGGTTTCACAGGCCGCCTTTATTTAGCTTTTGCAAGGTTTGAACCGATACACCTCAGCCTCCCAAGTGCTTCTCAGTGGGCCAGCACAGCTGCACATAAGTTCTTTCAGTATTTGTTTTTTGTATTAGAATTTTTTAGTATTTAGTATTTTTTAGTATTTTCTAGGTTATTTCTGTCTCCCCACTGCATCCTCTGAAATCCATGGTACAGATGTCCTATCTTGCCCCTCCCCCAAACTAGCATTCATATTTTTTAGTTCAGTTTGGGGGGGTCATTTATTTTAGCAACGTTTCTTTATGGGGGGGGGTGTCACACGCTGGAGGGAAAGGGGCATCTAGTAGGACTTTTTTCCAGGGGACTGAATTTGGGTCTTCAGGTTTAATAGCAGGCACATGAACCAGTCCTGGTATCTTGCTGCCCTGAATTCATTCTCCCCTCCCCCTCCCCCCATGCATTTGGCCTTATATGTGAATGGTTGTTTTCCACTTAGTTGCTGACTGACGAAAACAATATACCCATTTAAACATCTTACTTTTTCCTTTCAACAAACCCTTTAGAAAATCAAGTCTTGCACAGGCCAAACACAGGGGAGGCAGAGGCAAGAGGATCCTGAGTTCCAGGTTAGCCGAGTTCCAGGTCAGCCTAGTCAGGAGAGCTTGTCTCAAAAATAAATAAAATAAAATAAATAAAAATAAAACAGTAAAACAGCATAAGGGATGGATGGAGGGTTGTGGTCTTTGTTTTGTTACCAAAAATGCCTTGGGTGAAACCACATAGTCTATTCATCAGTTAATCTTTGATAAGCACTAAGCAGTTTTTAGTTACCTTGCTAAATATGGTGTGACTAATGGTCACTATAGGGTATATTTTACACTTCAGTAGGTCTTGACATCCCAAGAACACTTCATACTTCCATTCCCCAGGCGTAGAAACTTCTGCTACCTTCTGTGTGGTCTGCTAGTCTAAAGGACCAGGCTGGCCTCAGACTCACAGAACTCTGCCTGCCTCTACCTCCTGAGTGCTGGGATTAAAGGGATATGCCACCGTGCCATGCCCATTATTAATGTATGCATTTTTAGTTTCTTTTTATTCTCAATTTTTTTTTAATGATTTCTAGCTTTCATTCATATGTTGATACAGTTTTAATTCAGTGTTTTTTTTAAATGTTAGGCCCTCAAATACCATGTGGCTGAAAGACTAAACGTAGAGACTGAAACTTGCTTTTCTGAGCTGTCTCTGAGGGAGAAGCTTCGTGCAGTGGTGGAAATCACAACGCTGTTGTTAGTCTGCGAGACTGCCAGTCTAATAAGGACCCACCTGTGTCAAAAGCTGCTGTTGGACCAAAGGGGTGGACATGTGAGGGTGGTTTCCTGGTTTGACAGCATGGCCTTGACAAGAACAGTCCCTGGGGAGTGGAGCTATACATTTGAGTCTTTAGCATTATGGGTTTCTATTTTATTCACCTATTTTTGGTTTTGGTGGGGGTTTTTGGTTTTGTTTTGTTTTGTTTTGGTCTTTTTGAGGCAGGGTCTTCCTGTAGACCCAGATGGCCTTGAACTCACAGGCCTTCTGCCTGCCTCTGCCTCCTGAGTGCTGGAATTAAAGGGCAACACTACATCCAGCTTTTATTTGCTTATTTTTATTTTATGTGAGGAGTTATTTGCCTGCATGTACGTAAGAGTACCAGGCCCAAAGAGGGCATTGGATCCCCTGGAACTGGACAGTTATTAGCTGCTAAATTGTTGCTGGGAACTGAACCCATGTCCTTAGCAAGAGCAGTCAGTGCTCTTAACCAGTGATCCATTTCTCCAGCCCCTAAAAAATTATTTTAAAAAATTTACTTAAATGATTGATATGGATTCTAACCTTTGGGAAACTTTTTTCTTTACAATACCAGGGATTGAACCCAGAGCCTGGTGCACATCAAGCAAGCACTCGCCATGGAGATAGAGCCCCATCTCCTTATTCATCTTTATTATCTTTTAGTATTTGTTATTTACTATACTGCAAAGAAAGCCACATCTGTGTCTATATTGATTTTGAGACGGGATCTGCTAAACTGCTTAGACTGGTCTTGAACTCACTCTGCAGCTCAGGCAGCACTGGAACATGGGATCCTGTTGCCCCCAGCTCTGGAGTAGCTGGGATTGCATGTACCCTGCACCTCCAAGTGCAGCTTTACACATCTTTTTAAGGCAAACAGGCTCCGAGGGGATGCATGGGTCTGTAGAAGCGGGCTGCCTTGGCGGGAACAAAGACAGCTTCTCTCTATCACCTACCACTTTCCATTTCTTTAAATATCTGAAGCAACATGTCAGTCTCCTCTGGGAACTTGCCCATAGCTCGTGACATAAAGAAGTCAAAAAACTTTAAAGGTCTGGAGAGATGGCTTAGTGGTTCAGTGCTTCCTGCTCTTACAGAGGACCCAGGTTTGGTTTCCTGCACCCACATCTTGGCAGCTCACAACCACCTCCAGCTTCGGAGGATACACTGCCCTACAGACACCCATACTCACATGCACAGACAGAGACAGACACACAGACACACAATTAAAAATACAATAAAATCATATTTCAAAAAAATCAGAAACATAGGCTGGAGAGATGACTCAGCAATTAAGAGCACTGGCTGCTTTTGCAGAGGACCTGGGTTCGATTCCCAGTACCCACATGACACTAACAACTATCCTTAACTCCAGAGGGGATCCTACACCCTCTTCTGACCTTCTTGGGTATTGCGTGACATGGCTGCACTTACTTACACACATGCACGCAATACACTTGTACACATAAAATAAAAATAAATATGAAAAAGAATCAGAAAGAAATAAAGGGACTGGTTGAGTCTGCATAGTTCCGTTACACGTGTGGAGCGATGCATTGAGGAGCGGTTCCACTTAAAGTCTTTCACAGCATTGTTTTAGGTGCAGACCAGCTGCAGGGCCAGCCATCACCACAGCTGGACTCTGGTTTATACCTCCATCACCTGGGCACTGCCCCTGCCTCAGTTCCCCGTAGACCTCAGAGCCTGGAGAAGCAGCTGCTGGAGGAGCAGGCCAATCAGAAGCTCCAGAAATGAAGCCTTGCTGCGGACTGGGGTCTGCAGGGTAGGGGTTCCCATCCCCACTCCCCCAGGACTCTCCATCGACCACCTGGAGCCCTGATGGTGCAAGAGCCCATCTCATTAATAGCTGGAATTCAGTTGTGAAGTCTCACATGAGAACGAAACATGGCAAACATCTTTTTATTTTATTTATTTAAGCTAGCAAAAGGATGGGTTTCATTATAGCCCTTACATACATGTCAATAATTCACTGTTTTAATTCATTCGTTCTCCCATCCTCCCCAGGCTCCTCTTGCTGGTCCCTTTCATCCCTCCCCCCAAGCAACCCACCTAAAGCTTTCCTGCCTGAGGGATCATTTTCTCTTTTCCTCTCCCTCAAGATTTTTCCTTTCTGATCACCTCCTCCAACACATCCAAATCCAAATCTAGTTCCAACATACAAGAAAACACGCAGTATCTCTCCGAGACTTTTATTTTGGTTAACATCGTTTCCATCTCTATCCACTGACCAACTTCTTTACTTAGGGGAAGTAAACTCCCTACCATGTCCTTGCAGAACCTGAACCTGTTGTCTTAAATTGTGAGTGACTGTGGAAAACAGTAGCTTAAGTTGCCTTGCAGCTCAGAGTGGCTTCTGAGTTGCAGGCCTGTGGGGATGTTTGGACCCCACTGCTGAGCCAGCCCATAGGGAAGAAGGCAACTGGTTCCCTCTCTCCCCAAGCTGGGGTACTGACTCCAGTCTAGTACTGTGGCCTAGAGGCAATGATCATAGAGCCTTGGCCACCTCCAAGACTCAGAAGAGACACTGTGTGAGATGAAATCACTCAATGGTAAGGCAGCTGACGTCTGAGGGAAAGACAGGGTTCAAATGCCTGTGGGATTGTTAGGCAGTGGTGTTATTTTAGGTGGGCACGGTGGCGCACAGCTGTAGTCCCAGCACTTGGGAGGTGGAGGCAGGAGGATCAGGTGTTCAAGATAATCCTTAGCTACTTAGTTTGGGGAGACAGGGAGAGAGAATGAGCAGGCAATCATATGGTCCAGAAAGTCCTATATATGAACATGTTTTCTGATCGTTCTATGATTTAGTGAAAGTTCATCAATTCTGTTATAATACCTTTTTTCCTGTCCTCAGCAGGAACCCCACACTGCTCCAAAACACCACTGGAGGAAATGGAGACAGGAGGAAGGGGTTTGTGTTCATCCCCACCCGGCTGAGATAATCAGAAGTGGACAGCGAGCTGGCTAGCCCACAGAAAGGTGAAAAGAGTATTTTAACCTCCACTTACTATCATTAATGGACCCATACAATTCAGGGTCTGACCTATCAATCAGGGTCACATCACCTGGGGATGAACTCCCTGACTTGTTCAAAGAAAGCATCAATATTAAAAGTTGTGTTGGGGGCCAGAGAGATGGCTCAGCAATTAAGAGCACTGACTACTCTTGCAGAGGACCTGGGTTCGATTCCCAGCACCCACATGGCAGCTAACAACTGTCCATAACTCTGGTTCCAGGGGAATACAAAGCCCTCTTCTGACCTCTGTGGAATTGCATGACACAGGTGCACTCACATACATGCAGGAAATACACTCATATACATAAAATAAAAATAATAATTTTTTTTTTAAAACTGTGTTGGTACTGAAGAGATGACTCTGGTTAAGAGCACTGGCCACTCTTGCAGAGGACTCAGGTTTGATTCGCAGCACCCACACGGCACTAACCACCCCCTATCCCCACTTGCGTGTAACTCCAGTTCCAGAGTAATCCATCATCTTTTTCTGACCTCCATAGGCATTGTACATCATGGGTACACTTACACACATGCAAGCAATATACTCATACATGTAAAATAATAATTTTTTAAAGGGTATTCATAGTAAGCTCCTGCTGAAATCGCAAAGCTCTAGCTGACTGTTGCTTTACCCTGTGCCCAGCCAATTCCCACTACAGCCAGCCAGGTAGCCAGATAGTACATCCAGGTAGCACATCCTCCCTCCCATCCTAACCAAAACTTTTTCCTAACTGAAAACCTCTTTGTTAATTGACCTGCCCCTGGTCTAGTGTAACTATGGTGATCTGATGTAACTATGGTTACTGGCTTTGCCCCTGGCATGATGTAACTGTGTTTTTTTTTTAAGCTTTACAAACCCTGTCCTGCTACTCCTCAGGGTTGAGAGTTCTTTAGGGCATTAGCCCCCTCTCTTACAGCCAGCTAATTAAGGACTCCTGATTCAACCCAAGACTGCGTGGCTTTGAGGTGGACAAAAAGGGTAACCACAGTGCATTTCCAGTCCTGTCCCTATGAACAGGAACAACCAGTAGTTAGTCACCTTACGATTCTTCCTCTGGACATAGGAGCTGTACAGTGTCTTGAGTCATCTGATATTTCAAATTTCGAAAGGGGTATTTTAATTTATTGAGGTCTACTTGTTTGAAATATAGGGGTCTACATACATATGCTCTTATATACAAAACGATGACTCTGGTGTCCCGAAGGAAAGAAAAATAAAAGCAACAGCAAGAACAGTGGCCATTTTGGTTTCTCATCCTTCTACGGAGTTGGAAGACACCAGCAGGGTTCCGTCCTCCCTCACACACAGAGATGTGTGACAGACATCAAACAAAGTGGGGGCCCCCCCATCATCCCCCAAGAAATACTGAAAAATCAAAGCTCTGAACCTACAAGAGGGAGAGAGAGAAAATAGATAATTGTCACTATCATTTTGTTTTCACCGAAGCTGACCATGTGTAGTAGTTGTGGGTTTTCTGTCAATCATTTCAATGCACATTTAGTGAACGTTCGCTCAGTTCAACATTGTTCAAAGTATCCTTACAGAAACTTACCCAAGACACCATACTCAGAATTCAGAGGAAGTTATTTTTAATTATTCAAGGGCCTCAGACTGGGCTACCTGCACCAGAGAAACTGAGGGTCCGACCAGAAATGCACACTGATGGAATATGTGAATTGCAGAAGAGCCACAAGCCTCATTAGGGAAAGCTGTAAATCCCTTAAAGTGTCTAACTGGCCCTAACTTGGCAGCCTGGCCTTGCTCAAGCCTTATCAACTGGTCACTCCCTGAACTGAGAGAGAGACTGTTTGTGGAGCCCACCTGTCTCCTTTAGTGCTATAGATAACTCACCCTCCTGTCTGAGAAAATAGACCTTCAAGGACACCAGACCCTGGCACGGAGTTAACTCTTGCAGCTGTGTGCAGGAAAGTTCCTATATAAAACCAGCCTGCTCCCCCTTCAGAGTGCAGATAATCATTCTTGGAGCAGAAGAGCTGCCAGCCCTTTGCTGAGCTTCCTGAATCAATCAGGGGAGCACATTCCTTCCCTGTTGCAGGTCTGGCTCTGACTCTTATTTCTAAACTCTAAGCTCCTTCCTTTTTCTGCCCTCCTAAATCTAACACATACAGGTATTTACAGGATTTTTCATGCCATCCCTTGGCAGTAATCATATTGGTGGATATGAGCTTTCCAATACAGAAGTATATGTGCCCCTTTACAAAGAAGCAGATATTTGGGGGCAAATGTAGGGTAACTTTCCGGTAATATGCTAATGCCAGTACAGTCTTAGCTATTTTAACAAATAAGACACATTGCGGCAAGTGCTTCCTGAAAGACCACTGCAAGAGGCAGCATCGCAAGGCACTCACAGACTGTGGTTTCTGTGATTGTCTGCCTTGTCTTGGTGGGCTGATTGTCTGTCTTGATTATGGTGGGCTGTACTGGGGTCCAGAGCAACACTGACTAAAAAACAACAACAACAACAAAAAAAAAAACACAAAGACAAAAAAACAACCAAATAGTCTTTGAGGATCTGGAGCTATAATACTTTTCAAAAATAATCCGTGTTCAGATATTGGCATGATTTCTCCCTTGCTATGAAACTTTAGCTATATACCTAAAAAGTGGAAATAATCGTGTTTAATGTAGATGGTGGTGAGGAGAATTGAGTGAGAGTGAGTTAGTGTCTGCCTCACACTCAGTAAATTCCTGGGCATGGTACATAATACCTTCAGTGCCTTCAACTTTATCACCAGCACTGAGGGTCACTTAGACATGCCAAGCATCAGAACTATATGGAGTTAATCTAGCTACTGTCCTGCCCAAAGCTGTTTTCAAATGCAGAATTTCAGGAATTGTGACACTGTGGGACAGAAAGGAACCCTTCCTGTCCATGTTCATAACTACATATAATACTGGAAAAAAATCCTATACAAACGCTATAAATAGTAAATCCAGTTTTACACATAATTATGTACGTCTATATTACATATGATACCACATGTTATAATACAACGTATGTTTTATGCCTTGTATGTATATATTAAATAACATAAAAATTAGCATTTACTATTCCAGGTCAAGTTATTTATGTTATTTATGATACATAATATATGTTATATCAATACACTCTGTTCATATTATATATGACAATGAAATTTTTTCTTATATATTTATGGGCGCGCAGGTTTCGCGGAGCACCAGCTGCTGGCTGGCGCCTGTCTCTCGCACGCCGCTGGGGCGGGTCCCACGCGCCGCGTTGCTGAGGGTCTCCGCGGCTACTGGATGCTGGCGACTCTACTGGTCACTGCGCTTCCAGGTGTGTTCCATTCCAATCTTGCGGGCACTCCCTCTAAGTTCGAGATCCGTCGGCCACCGGGTCACGAGGGGAGGTGCGGAACGGCGAAAGCAGGGTCTTCGCGAGTCGTTGTTTACAAAGGGACAGCCCCCTCTGGAGAGACTGAATCGTAGGCAGTAAGACACAGAACTCAGCTCAGTCAGACTCCGTGGTACAGCTCCTTTATTCAGTGACTCAGCTCGGCTCCAGGTCTTAGTGATTCAGCTCCGATTAATTAAGGGAAACCAGGATATTTATAGTGTGGAGGCAGTGGCAAAAGCCTTAGTTGATAGGTGCTTTGTAGGATGCCCCATTTACATGTGGTGGTGGGCTTCCACCAGGCTGCCAGACATCGCCTGATTATCACACAGGAAAAACCTGGAAGTTTCATGCCGGAGGACATGTATCTGTAACGGGCACTTCAAAAGGTGAGTCAGGAAGAGAGTAGGAAGGCGCCCAGCTGAGAAAGGGAGTCTCTGCTTATGAACGCCGAGCCAGCTTGTGGCTATCCGGATATGTAGAGACTGCTACCTTAGACAGCAGGGGTCCCCAACATATATTGACACTATCATTGACTCCACCTAACTCACTGATAGATAAAATTCACTGCCCACAGGTGACTGAGCATTTTGGAAACAAAATTTACAGACTTTCAAGGAAAATTATCTACCTAAATTCTGAAACTATGCAAACCAAAACCCAGAATGAAAGCATAGCCAGCCATTGAAAAAAACCAGAAAATACTGGCTACAGCAGGCTTTCAGGATCCATAAGGAAAGAACTCATGGAAACATCCTGAATCTACAGGAATCACAGAAGCCTTGAAGGGCTAAAGGCCATACAGGAAGGTTGGGGTAGGGGCGAGGGCAGGGATCAACTTCACTAGTGAAACTCCAGAAATTTAACTCCATAATTGTCATTTGAAACCCGTTGCATGGGCAAAAATGATCAATTATAAACAATCATTTAGGGAGCTATAGGGCAGTGGTGTTCTGATGCTGCAGGCCCTGGGTAAATAGGTGTTATTATGACATCTGTGGAATCTAGCAACATCAGAACACGGGTTCCTTACCTCAGCTTCAAATAGTCTCACATCAGTACACTTCAGCCTTGACTACTGTTGCAGATGGACTGAGCTGTGGCCAGCTACAGGCTCTCCCTATTGGTGTTCACACCTATGAATTCCCTCCCTCTAAGTGGGGTCAGGGCCTGAGAATCACTGGGATGAACAAAACCTGGCACCAGTGGCAGGCTGTCACTTCTACGGCCACATTTAAGTGTTCAAGACTCTGTCTTGCTGAGCAGATGCCCCAGAATCTCTCTCAGTGCATTTTCAAGAAATAATTGACCATGTCTGGAGCCCATATGTACGGAGCTGAGGGCAGGCTCCAGCTAGCAAGACACAGGAAGCCGGGCCTAAGCCCTAAAACCAGCAGGGGCTGAAATCTACCAGCAATGAAAGTAGAAATAGAGTCTACATGGACTAGCCTCTGGCCGGGAACACACCCAGGCCAACACCTTAACTGCAGCCTTATGAGGCCTTAAACAAAAGGCCCACCAAGACTATCCCCAGGGTCCTGACTCACAAAAACTGTGAGATGAGATATATGGGTTATTTGAAGTCATTAAATTAGTGGTAAATTCTTGGCAGCATTAGATAAGTAACAGTTACCAAATGATTTTAGGGCAGTTCCAATTTTTCAGCCAATGAGTCATGGTAAAACTTTCCTCTGACAAGTAAGGGTTGCCTCTAATCTCAACACCCAGGAGGCTGAAACAGGAGGGTCCCCAGGTCAAGGCCAGCCCAGGCTCCATAGCCATGTGTGGAGAGCCACAGCCTCCGCTGCCATTACAAGATGGCGCCGGTATCCGGACCTTCTTAAAAGTAAACATCCTGCCACACCCATAAGGGGCGTGCACAAGAGCCTGCTTTCCCCCGCCTCCTCCCGTGGCGTGATCTCCAGCAACCAATCCGCTTCTTATGCTCTCCAGCAAGGTCAAGGCCAGCCCAGGCTCCATAGCCATGTGCTGTAAGTTTTAGCCCAGCCAAGGCTATGCAGAAAAACCCAATCTCAAAACAACAACAAAAACCAAACCAAAGTCCCAAACAAACAACGACGACAACAACAACAAAAAGCAAATACCAAACAACCTAGAATATTCTTTGCCTAGAGGCTTTTGAATGCCATAATTATGGTTGAGAATGTGGAAATGTGGCGCACATTGACGGACAGACGCAGGCAGGACGCTTGGCCATGTTTCTAACATGTTCGTTCACTCAGACGAGTCCCTAAAATCATTTCAGGCATGCATAATGCTTTGCTAAACGCTGCTTTAAGAATCAGAATTATTAATAAATACTGTGTGTCAGTTTTCTCATCACTGTGACCAAATGCCTGACAGCAAGCAACATAAGGGCTTTATCTTGGCTCACGGCTCACAAGAACACAGTCCACCCTGCAGGAAGGCATGGTGTTGGGAGCGGCCTGCTCACTGGCACTGGCCAGGAGGCAGAGGAAGGCTAGGCTTGCTTTTCCCCTTTTTGTTGAGGCCAAGACTAGCACATGGGATGATCCCTTATACATCCAGAGTGCGTTTTCCCTCTGTAGTTAAATATCTCCAGAAACAACCTTACAGACATACCCAGAGCCTCACGAATGCTCTAGGTGTTTATTTGGGGTGGAGGTTGCTTTTGTTTTGGGACAGGGTCTCCCTGTAGCCCCAGCTACCCTGGAACTCTATGTAGACCAGGCTGGCCTTGATCTCACAGAGATCAGCCCATCCCAACTAGTGGGATTAAAGGCCTACATCATTGTCCTCCTCTCTGGGTGTTTATTAACCCATTAGGCCGACAACAAAATGAACCGTGTCACACTGTAATCATCTCAAATACCAGGA